TCTGGGAGGGGTGTGTCTGCAACTGCTTGGCCGTCTTCCTCAGCACTCCTGCTTCAGCATCAACAATCAGCTGACCTTCCTGGGGTTTGCTCTGCAGCAGGCCAGGAGGCGTGGATATCACTCTGCCAGTGTCCAGGTGGGACAGGTGGGATGCGGCCAGCAGGAACCCAATGAGTGAGTCACAGGGCCAGGAAGCCAAACTGCTATTGGGCAGATCTGGAGGACAGGACAGGCCCCCTGGGGTGCCAGTTCTACCCATGGAACACTGCACCTGGTTTGGCTGCTTATTTTTTTTTTTTCAACTCAGGTAGAATATATATACCAACTCTTTGACTTTTTCAAAAGTACTTTGATGCCAGGAACTAACACAAAACCACACCTTCAGGGACATTAGACTAGGTGATTTCTGAGTTTGCTTTCTTTCCACGCTGCCATTTGCTGGTTTTATGAATCGTGGCCTGTTTTGCAGATCCAGCCCAGTGGGTGGGCCACAGACCTCAGAGTCAGACTCATGAGGGGGCGATGAACTCAAATGCACACTAAGCACTGACCGCAGCCTACGGGGGAGGCCCCCACATTTATCAAGCCACTGCGTCCAAATGCATGCAGAGGCGGCAATTTAATTCCTCCCTGGCAAGTTCAAACTATTCGGGAGAAGCTCTGCCCTTTGATCCCAACCTCCATCTCACTCCATCCCACGAAAAAATATTCCAGGGAGTTTCCCTTTTTCTAAAGGGATGTGTGGTAGATTTTTCTGGAAAGTAAAATTCTATTTTGAATACATTAGGAAATTTCATTCATTAGAAGAAACTCAGAAGAGAATCCTTAGGAAAAGAGAAATTTTTCTATAAAAAAATTTTTCCTACCTCTATCTTGTTTATATTTTCAATCTTTACATATTATTCAGAGTAAGACATATCCACATACTATATAGCATCTTGACAATAAAATGACAATTTATACTTAAGAGGGGATATGTTATTATGTATAAGAAATTAATTAAAGTTGTTAAAATAATGAATTAAAAATATGCCAGACGTACTATTCCACCTGGTTCATCCTGCTTGATTTTTTCATTTGTCTCCAGACAGCATAAATCCTAACACGAAGTTTTAAATTTTCCCACCAAACTCTCTGAAAAGGTCATGTTTAGAACTATAAACCGACAAGGTCACAGTGCAGCTCCCGTTGCTGAATCTCCCAGCTGAGAGGTGCAGGGGTGACGCTAGCGCAGGCACGTGAACCACTCGTTCTGGGCACCGTCCCACGACTGTGTGAGCTGCAAAGGAGCCCTGGCACCTTTGGACTTGGAGCTGCATGGTCTCCTCTTGCTCACTCATGCTTCCTTACCTGCTTCAGCCTGCAGGGATAGCCAGGGAGTGTTGGGAGGAGCAGGCCCCACAGGTAGCCAGCTGAGGGTCCCGGCCCCACTGATGGGCTAGGGACCTGGAGACCAGTTTTGGAGCCCATCCTCCCATCTGTGAGAGGGGCTGACCCCTCCCACCTCAGAGGGGGCTGTGGGGAATTAACTGAGATTAAACGGACTGAGCTGTAACAGAGGCTGAGCATGCAGCAGGCACTCCAGGCCCCAGTTCCTGCTCTCTCGCAACACCCACAGCACGTGTGCAGAGCATCCTCAAACCATGTCACCTCCAGACAGGGGCACATCCGAAAGGCACAATGCCCTGCAGGCCACTGTGCTCAGAACACAGTCATACTCCCAGAAAATAACAATCACTTTGGAGTTGCTGCCCCCAAAGAGGTCCAGTGATTTGCCCCCGACCAGGCCACAGACAGCGTTCAGACCCAATGTGGCAAGAGGTGCTTGGACCCACCCTTGCTGCCAGCTGTCACAAAATCCTGAGTTAAAGAACCATCTCAACGTCTTCATCCGAGCATTTTATATCTCTCACAATCTTCACATAGTGGTGGTTGTTGTTTTTAATTTTCCCCCTTATGTTTGTCTCTAGCTGGGATTACGCATAGCAATTTCTCTTTTTTCTTGCTTAATCAGTATTTTCTTATTTTTCTATACCTGGCAAAATATCCTGCCATAGCAGGAGCTGAAACCTGTCTCAGCTGTGAGGTGTCTGCTCGAATGCACAGAGAGGAAAGGCACCATTTTCCTCCCTCCTCAGCACCCATTCAGACAAAAGTGGGAGTATTTGGGTACCAATCTTAGGGCCCAGAGGGGCTTGTGGTCTTGGACCCATGGCTCTTCCTACAAGGGAGCACAACATTTACAACATGAACAATGGGACGGAAGGTGGGAAGAACACACGGCACCTTCTTCACAGGCCTCCTGGAACTCAGGCAAGACCACAGTGACCCTCACAGGCTCACTGCTCTTGGTCCCGTCACTCCTTCCTCATCAGGAAACTACAAGCTCCTCCTGACTGCCTCACAGCCACCAGAACTGGACAGGGCCCCAGCACCCCTACGGTCAAGGGCAGGGTCACTCCCTGACATAATGACCGCACAGTGGGAATGGGTAGGGTCCGTGGGGAAGGGTGGCAACATCACACCTGCTTCACACCTGCTTACATGCCCCCCCCCCAACGTACCACCAGAGGTGGGCCTTCCTTGGTGCCATTTCTCACCTGGGCAGATGCAAACCCTCAGCACATGTGCTAAGTAGAGTGTGAGCCCCAGTGAAACTACAGATCACTGACCTGTTGGCCAAGACCCCAAGTTCCACACTCTCCTTCCTAGAAAGTGCTGCACCTGTCTTCCGTGGGCCAATTCTCAAGCCTCCCGGTGCGACGGAAAGCAGCAAGTGTGGTTCCCACATGAAGAACCCACGGCACCCGTGTGAACTACACTGTGAACCTGGCCACAGAAGTGACTCTTGCAGCCATTCTGCAACTGTCTGTTGGGGACTCCAGGGTGGGAGGCCCACGCCTGGTAACTCCATAGAAGGCGTACCATGCCAAGGGAGTGACAGGGACACCCTCCCCACAGGGTTCACGTCAGGGATGTTACCTTGAGCAGGAGGAACCAGCTGACCACACGGGGTGCTTCTAACACGTACACTACTCAGAGATTTCAGGGCAACGCTGCCCATGCCATTAAGCTCCCGAGACCTATGTGAGCAGGAATGTAAATGCTGATGTTCCAGAGTTACTAGGTGCTACCTTCCTGAACCCCCAGGCACAGATGACAGGAACGGATCCAATGTTAGTATGTGTGTGAAATGCAGACCCTGGCTGGAGTCCAGGCCCCTAGAACTGTTACCTCGCGTACAGTTGGTGGTCAAGAAATGCTGCCTCTATTATTACCAAATACCATAATTATCTCAAGCATATACTTCAGGTAATACATATACCCATAAAGTTATCAACTACATTAGCCAAATAACCATTTAATTAAAACTAAAAGCTCAATCAAAATGTCCCATTTGTCCACCAGCTTTACCTGTGTAAAAATTCACTAGGTAAGAAATACAATCATAGGACTGAAAGCAAAAGAAAACAGTTGTGAATCATGTCACTCCTGGAACATATTCTAAATAAAATGCAATTGCGTGCCCCTGACACTCTAGTCAGTACTCCTAAGTACCCGTGCACACAGAGTGGCCCTGAGTGTCTGGGAGATCATCTGAAACTTCTGAGTCCAGATATTCTGGGCCCCAGAATTATGAATGTACGTTCCTACTAAAACTGATCAGCATTTCGTAGAGGAAGTGGATAATGTAAGCCAACAGACTAAAGTAGCTTCAAAGGCAATTCGTTCTGCTTCTGGCCAAGAAATAAAGCAGTAAAGTTTAAATATCAACAATAGCATAAGGTTAATTTATGGATCTTTAATGCTGGCATTTCATTAAACACATGATGAGAAAGAGAGTCCTCGACATTCTCTCCCACCCGTCAGAGAGCCTACCTGGCTTTACATTGCCCTGTCCTCTGTGGTACCATGGGGAGGGAAGGCGATTAAACTCTCATCCGAGGTCAGGAGCAGGTGACCTGGCCCTTGGCACATGCTTGACTGGGGCTCTGCCGGGACCTGAGACAGATGGTCAGGAAAACTCCTGGATGCTGGCCACGCTGATAACACTTTCCCCTCCTATAGAGCACACAGCCAACAGTTCCCCAAGCTCACCTGCAGACTGGACCCTGGGCCTGACAGCACTGCTCCCAGAAACAGACACTGCATCTACCAACAACAGCCTGTCCTGGACCAACGTTCCACAGCCATGTTGATTTACCTGCATGTCCCACCATACCAGAGGGCATTTTCATGAGGATGTGGAAGTTCAGACCCAAGTCCAAGGACACACTCAGTGAGAACATGAATGGAATATCCTGTGCCTGGGCCTCCACCTCTGCACAGTTGATTGGCTCCTGCACTGCCCTGATGTGGGCAAGGCAGGCTTCACACACCCTGTGTCAGAGATAAGAACTGAGAGAATGAAGGCTTAAATCTTAAGAGTCACACGGCAGTACGGCCAGTGTGGCAACCTCAGCATGTTGGTCTGTGAGCAATTTCTGCTATAACATGCGGGAGACCAAAGCTGTGGCCTAAAATATCCTTGGCAAAAGCACCTCAGCAGAACAATGACTAATGAAGAAAGCGTGAAATAACGTAAATATGTATCAATAACAATTCCTAAAGAGGTTCAAATTACAGCAATAATGCATCCATTTTTATACTTAATTAATAGAAAAGTAAAAAAAGAAGATCCATTGATTTGGAGGCTTCAGGAAAAGAGGCACTTCTTAGCTGCTGGTGAGCAAATGGCAATGAAGAAGCATTCTGTTCATAGTCATAAAACAGTATTCCAAACCCAAGAGTTCATCTCTAGGAAATCATTTTTAAAATAAGGAGATACAGGGAAAAAGCTGTTGATAATACTATTAATTTATAATACTGGGAAACTGAGCTTCCCAAACACCTATCCCCAGACAAAATCAGTCATGGCATTCATTCCTTTACAGCACTTTACATCTCAGATCAGGGTGCTCAGCACGCCTAAACCGCAAGCCCAGACCCTGGGGAAATACCTGCTTCATGTAGGCATAGCACATGGTCTCTGCGACACGTTTGCCTTCATCATAGCAGGCCCGAGGTCCTATTGGATTCACGTGGCCCCAGTAATCCTCACTTTGAGGGTGGACTTCAGGATCTACGATGGGAGAAAAGTGAGACTGTTTTCATCTTTCCTTTTTCCAGTTCATATCAATAATGCATATTTATGATGCAAAAGGGAACTTCGGAAAGACCCATTTAGAGATGGAGAGATGTATTAAAGAGGCCACCTCAGGTTTCCGGTCCATTCTCTAAGTTCCAGTAGGACACGATATTAAGCAATGACATTTTACTTACAGGGGAAAAAAAAAAGAAAAAGATCAGGTCTCCCAATTTTAAGTTTTCCCTCTCTTCCGTAAATTGTTCTTCACTTTTAAAGTGCTATGCAAATTACAATTAAATAGAATCTATGTGAAGAGATACATGGTTTTGTTTATATTTATAAAATCAATAACTGGAGCAAAACATGTATTTATTGAAAAAAATGAAAAACGCAGCATCTGTGGAACATGATGACTTTGACATGTGCCATCAGCAGAACACATTGGGACCTGTGACGAGACAACGTGGAGGCTCCTGTAGGGCAGGTGGAGGGATGGGGTGTTCCCTGGCAAATGGGAGCCTGTTCTTCTAGCCCTCACTTTACACTCCCAATTCCTGTTTCTCTAGCGTATAAATCAACCACGCTTTAAGACATACCAGGGGAAGAGATTATTGGAAGAAAACAAGTAACAAATTCTCTTATTCACACGAGTATATTTCTGGAATGTGAATATACATCTAATTTATTTAGTACACCTAGAATTTTATACATACTTGAGTACAACTATGATATAAAACGTGTAAGTCTTTGCCATGAAATCTGGACAAAAAGATGCACTGTTATAAATTCCCATCTTGTTTATCTTACCCCTGAAGTCTGACTTGGGACTCAGTGGGCCTGAGCAGGTGCAGGGAGGCAAACAGACAGGTATCCTGCCACATTTCTGCTCAGCGGATCCCTCTGGGTCAGCACAGCCTCCGCGGCAATGCAGAAGTGTGCTGCAAAGAAAGGTCTACGTATCTGCTGCTGTGGTTTAAAACTCCCTTTCGAAGGGCAAACTTCTCACTGCTCAGTGGGAGAAAAGTTCTAAGGAAACGACTTCCTGAGAGAAGGGAATCATTGACTTAAATTCACAGAATGGACCAGATGATTGATTTCAGACCTTTTTCCGGGGCTCTTTGACAAGAGCTGGGCAAGCTACACTCCAAAAGAGATGGTCATAAATTGGACAAAGGACAAGAAAGAAAAGGCTGGGTACGCCCATCTGTCCCTGGACAGGCACCGTCTGGACTGAAATGCTCAGGACGGCAAGCTTCTAAATAAGTCTCCTCACAAAATCACCGTGGAAAAAAAACAGGGAAAACTTACATTGTGAACACGAAAGTAAAGATCCAGAGCCAAAAATAATTTCCAATCATCTCCCCTTTCCAGCATTCTGTGAGGCTAAGGCACTAAGCAAACGCTCCACAAAAGTTGACTTTGGTTGTTCAAGGTCAGAGGAGAGCACTTGGTGACTTCCACAAATTACACTCTCAGTTATTTAGGAAGCCTAAGGAACACAGGCTCCTGTCAGACACGCGGATAATAAATGAGACAAGTGGGGGAAGCAGGGTGGCTGTGGGAAACATGTCACTGTGCTCCTCTGGACAGACACCACATCCCACAGGTAGGGAGGGGCACGCTCTGCTCTTTTATTAGTAACTGCTGAGGACTTCAAAAACGTAGACGATGAACTACCTTTTCATAGAGATTACAAAGAATACCACTGCATTGAGAAGAATTTCTCTGTTGCTATGTTTTTTCATTCAGTTTCCTTACTTAAAAAAAAAAAGTTTCTTCTGATTTTGCCCTCTTACTTCCTTCTCTCGTCCACAGTAAGAATGTAAAATAGAAAAATTGCATCATACCAGGACCTGGCTTCCGCTGCATCAGCGAAGCAGTTCTCCTAAACCCTGCACACTCAGCTGGTTTGGGGCTGAAGAGAAATCAATACGAATTGGAAATATAGCCCCTGGTCCCCACTCCTCAACTCCTTCCCAGGCAGTGAAGGAGAGGGAGGCTGTAGCTTGGTAAAACAAACTCATGGGTGTTCTGACACTACCTGCTTAAGGTTCTTCCAGAACTCGTTATACAACACGGGAGGCAGTAAGCGCATGTCTCTTCTCCCAGGAAGCCTTAAAGGCCAGCCCGTGAGCTCTTGGGAGGTCAGGCATGCAGCACGCATGACTCACATAGAAGAACGACATGTGCAGCCAAACAGGTAAAAAGATAGTGTGATTTCTGGGGTGTTTTCAGAGCAGAATGGCAGAAACACTTCCGTGGAATCATAAATGGTGGGTCTTTATTGGCCAGGTGACAGGGTGCAGTGCTCCAATGATGTGTGATCCAATGAGAGGTTGTCCCACTGGGCAGAGGAGCTTGGCAACCGGGGAGGCTGACAGGTAGCCTCTTGTGCACAGGAGGAGCATGGGCGGGCTGAGTCTCCTCAGAAAAGAACCCTGGACTCTTCCGAGACAGGATGAAAATAGACCAAGGGCTGGAGTGAGCGTACCCTGAGAGAGCCCCCTACTCACCTCCATACACCTCCGATGTGGAGGCCAGGAGCAGACGGGCGCCGACTCGTTTTGCCAGCCCTATAGAAAGCAAAGACATGATAAAAGAGACTCGATTTACATGTGCGGGCACATTTTTTGCTGGCCAATTTAAGCAATGTTTTAGTATTAAAGACATTTAATTATCTATTCAATTATCTACTCTTACTGCATCTGCTTTGGCACCAAAATAAACAAAACAAATGCAGTAAGAAAAACATAAATGGATTCTCAGAAGGCCAGTATTTTGTTGAATATTGTCATAAGCAGGGCCAAATGCAGAATCCGTTAGTTTGATAAAGTGTGATTTCAGGAGTTTCCTGAGGCACTCCTCTGCCCCCAAATATTACCCCATATTGTACTGGGTAACTTTCCCTTGGTTGGCAGAAGGCAAGGCCCTTCTCTCCTTAACTTCCACAATGGTCCACCTGCCACTTCCTGAACATGTCCTGGGCTCTCCCAACTGCCCATGCCACCCTGTCTGGATAACTGTCCACACATTCTTCTTCCTCCTTTGCGGTTCAGCTTACACAGCACCTTCTCCAAAGCAACTGTCACATTCCTCAGTCCTGCTTTGAACCCCTTCCCTGGACTGACCACTCACATGTAACTGACTAGAACATCATTATCTACGGTAGGCAAGTAAGTATGGAAAGTCTTCCAAACTCGTTCACAGAGTCCCAGTGTACAGAGGTTCGTTACAGGCTCCAAGAACCCCCCTGACCTTCATTAACCCTGTACTTAAGACAGGGGACATACCCCATCCCCAATCGCCACTACACTAGACGGGGGCTGTGTGGACACCCCTCAGCTCTGTCCCCCACACAGAGCAGGGGCCAACACATGCCCACAAAGCACTGCTAGGAGGGTGAGACAAGCTAGGCACATGCAGCCTATGTGCGCTTCTGGGCGAGGCTGGTGGGGGTGGAAGGATTCTAGCGTGCGGGAACCAGAGGTATTAGCGTGTCCAACAATGTAGTAGCTTCAAAATGAAGGACCCTGAGATCTTTTTCTTCCTGATTAAATTTTTTATTTTGAGATATTTGTACATTCAAATTCAATTGTACAAAGCAATATAGGGACCTTATGTATCTTTTACCCAGATTCCTCCAATGCTAAAACTTGCAAACTAGATTGTGTCACTATCAGGACATTGACATTGATATGATCGGTGACTATTTCCACTGAAATGGACATTGCATTGATAAAAGTGATAGAGCATTTCCATCTCCACCAGGATTCCTCACACCGCCCTTCTGCAGCCTCTCCTCTCTCCCTCCCACCTGCTGACCCCTGGCAACCACGAACCAATTCTCCATGTCTATAATTGTGTCATCTCAAGGAAGATACACAAATGGAACATGACCTCTTGGGACTGAATTTTTTCACGGAGCATATTTCCCTCAAAATCTATCCAAGCTGCAGTGTGTATCAACAGATCCTTCCTAATCTATTGCCATGTACAATTCCAGGGGATATATGGATGTGCTGCCGTTAACCATTCACCTATGACAGGACATTCTAGTTGCTTCTCGTTTTCGACCTCTACACAAAAAAAGCTGCTATGAACATTCATACAGGTTTTTATGTCAACATAAATTTTCATTTCTCTGGGAGAAATGCCCAAGAATACAATTACTGAGTAATATGGTAGGTGCGTATTTAGTTTTTTAAGAAAGCGTCAAACTGTTTTCCAAAGTGACTATACATTTTATATTCTGAGTTATTTCCAGTTTATAGTTTTCTCTGAACTTTGGTCACAAACACACATCACAAATGCAATGTGTTGTATTTCAAAAACAACCGAGTTTAAAGATGTTGAAACTAGGACTACTTCTGTATCACTTTCATGGAATGACTTACGCAGGATCTACAGAGGCAACTGTCAGGGAGTGAAGCCAAGGGAGCTATCCTGCTGCTACAGTGTCTGGGGGTTACGAAAAGCTTTCATCAGAGGAAGAAGTCTAGCACAGGGTCTGGGAGGCGGGCAAGTTACATAGAGGAAAGGGTCTCACCAGGAAGAAGCCAGGCAAAGTTCATGGCATCTTATCCCAAGTGCAAGATGGCTAATGACGGCTCCTCTCCGTTCAGAATACAAAGTCCAACGTGGGTTTCTTTCTAGCCTACCAATGGTCTCCCTTCGCCTTTTGTCAACATCTCTCCTGGAGCACTCTTTATCATTCCTGCAAGGCCTCCACATTCAATCTCAGTCATAGCTCAAGCCCTAGCTCGAGTCACTTTTGCATTTAACTCTAATAGCATTTTGCTGAGGCCTCTCTTTGGGAGCCTTTCCCACCCTACTAGGTATCACCGACACTTGTGCCCATTCAGCAGCCCCCACCCCCCATGGGGCGCCGAGTGCAGAAGAGCCTGAGGGTAACCCCATCTGAATCTGCCCCACAGTGACAGGACCCATGGGCACAGTGACTGCATCCCCTAAGTAGGAAGAACAAATGGAATCTCTCTAAACACCAAGTGCATGATGGGCTTTTCCTCTACGGTCTAGTTCTGGTATAATGCAGGGGTAGGCGCTTGTGATGGCAAGAAGAGGGCACCACGTACACCTCTAAGCAGAAGCAGCAGCACCCTGTTCTGTCTGGGACCAGAGTAGGGGATGGTAACAAAGAAGATAAAGCTCTTTCCAGACAGGAAGAATGAATCATCTTACTCCAAACAACTTGACCCTTGTGATGGTTCATTTTATGTGTCAACTTAGGCAACGGGATGCCCAGGAATCTGGTTGAACATTATGTCCGGGGGTGTCTGTGAGGGTGTTTCCAGAAGACAGGAGCATTTGAAGCTGTAGACTGCGTAGAACAGATGGCCCTCCCCACTGTGGATGCATCATCCAGTCCCTTACAGGATTGACTGGAACACAGAGATGGAGGCAGGTCGACTGCTTACACAGAACATTGATCTGCCCTCGGCTCTCCAGTTCTCAGGCCTTGGAACTACACCCCTGGCTTTCTTGGTTCTCCAGCTTGCAGAAGGCAGACGGTGGGACTTCTCGACCTCCATAATCACGTGAGCCAATCCCTCGTAACTAATCTCTTTCTCTAAATCTCTACACATCCTATTGGTCTGTTCTTCTGTAGAACCTTGACTAGTACCACCCCCTAAAATATTGTGTCTAAGAGAGAAACCAATCTCTGGCTGTCCTTTCATTACCTTGACTCCACGTTTTGTTCAAATCAAAATTTAGTGCTGTATTTCCCAAGTCTATTTGCAGAACCTGTATTAAATGTTCCTACACTTAAATCCATCATTTACTTGCCATTTTAAAAAGCGGTTCCTTTCTTTCACTTTGCAAATAATCAAAACCCCGAGAGTTTTTTGAAAAAAACTGTGCCAAATTTAAGCATGCCTCCAATTTTAAACATTAATATGTGCATACTACCCAGAGCTATAAATCTAAGGCATGTCACTTGTGAATATACACATATGGCCACCCTTAACAATGCTCTCTCTTCCATCTTTCATGAATGCGAACCCTGAAGTCCAATCTAGGGCAGGTACTCCATCTTGATAACATCCCATACAGACGTCTCCATCCATTCCTTCAAAGAGTGCTACTGAAACAACCGTGTGTAAGGCCATGCCAAGCCAACCTCGGGATGAGAGCCACCACTGCCTCTTTCCAGCATGAGGCATGCCACTTATCCTTGGCATTCATCAACTGGTTTCAGAGGAGAGGAGGAGGGGAAGGCTGGGTGGTCAGTCACATGAAGCGCCTGTGGTCACTCCCAGGGGATCCTACACCAGGGTGCTGCAGCCTGATTACTATGATGCATGAAAAGTTAGAATATCTCCTCCATGACATATTCTGATGATAAATAAAGTCACACTGAAATAACACTGCAAAACTGCCAAATACCACAGGCAGGGCGATAAGGGATGATAAGGGACCCAGATCAAACTCTAGTAGAAGATTCAATGTCCTATGCTTATAATCGTCTAAAATATTCCCAGCAAGAGCCAAAAAACAAGAAAATGACAACTTACCCAACATGTTTAATGTCCCAATCGTATTGGTCTTTAATGTCTTGATAGGATTATACATGTAGTTTGGAGGGGAGGCTGGAGATGCCAGATGGTATATCTGGTCAACTAAAGGAGACAAAACAGAAGCCTATTACTTAAAAACAAAACAAAACAAAACAAAAACCGCTAAAAAAATACTGACCTCCTAGGATATAAACTGTATAATAAATGTATTAGTCTATCTTTCACCGAAATCATGTTATTTTATTCTTTATATAAACTAATTTACATTTGTAATTAGAAAAAGGTTAAACAAAAATAGAAAGTCTAATTATCTGGAAACAAAAACATGTGCTGGGTCAGTTATTTGAGTCTGTTCTTGTGTAACCAGAGTCAATTCGATTACTGAGTTGATTGTTTTCTGAAATATTTGTCCCAGATAAAGCACTCAAATCAGAAGGAAGACTGATATTTTTCAGACACAGAATTAAGCATGAATTTTTTTCTTAGTTTGTGAGGCAAATATGACTTAAAACCAAAGACACAGAACTATGGGAGAAAGTAGCCTTTCCTTTGTTTTTATGCATCCTGCCTACATAAAACCAGACCCTGAGACCATGGAGAGGGAGGGAGACGGGGTTTTAAAGCCATGAATGGCAAAGCAATTCAGATTCCACACAACCCCTGCTCCTCCTGCACAGGCATTCACTTTAACATCACTACCCACAGCCCTCCAGCACCGATCCAAGTCAGGCAACACCGGCACACAGCAGAGACGCCTTTGGGGACCAGCCTCTCACTGTGGAGTGGCAGCAACAGACACACACACAGGAGCAATGCCATCCTTTCAGACAAAAGTCCGTGTCGTGCCATTCTACTTTCAGCCACTGGTGAGGAAACATATCCACCATCCACAGGAGAGAGAGGAACAGGGATCTGAAAGCTCTGCTGCCAAAATGAGTCCTCCCTTGCACATGGATGTGTCAGAATATCTGCAGGGGCCCCTCTGCCCGGGCCTTCCGGGCTCCTCCTGACCAGGTAACTGCTGCTGTCTTCCCTTTCCCAATGCTAGGAATGGAAGAGCTGAAGATCAAGCCTTTGAGTCGCAGCAGGTCAGTCTAGAGGTTCTCAATCAATCCTGACTGTGCACTAGTCCCCCAGCGAGGTAATGCCTGGGTCCCTAACACCCTGAAGCAAGCTGGGAGACTCTAGACCTTCATATATATACATACACACACACACACACACATATACACACATATATACATGCATATATACATATATGTACATATATACATACACATATATACGTGTGTGTGTGTATATACATATTTTAACATTTGAAAGTCAAGCCTGAAAACCAGAGAGTTCATTTAGAAATAGAACCAACGCTTATGGGAAGAATAATCTTTTTGTAAAGAGAACTGACAAAACCCAAAATCTTTAAAATTATTGATGGTCTGTCAAGATGCAAGTTCGCTGAAAGGATCTGTCCAAGTAAAAGGAAATCCCGTGACTGCTGTTCCCACCCCCACAAGTTATTCTGAGCTGAAAAACCGCTAAAAATACGAACTAACATTCTATTATACAAATTGTAATTTAACAAGATACCTTTTAAAAATCAGTTTTCACAAAGTCCCATAATTCTAAGGCCAAGCTATCTTTTGCAGTTTCCAGCTAGGTCCAGCACAGATCGGGTCAGTTCCTGCACACCTGCTTCCAAGCTCCAGGGCTGCAGGTAGAAGCAGCAGACCATTAGCCCCAGAAACAGGCACTGTGCTGCCTCCTCTGAAGATGACTCCTCATACCCACTGCCACTTTGGAGCGGGACTGTGCCAAGTTCAAAACCAAATGAGGGCTGGGCATGATGGCTCATGCTTGTAATCCTAGCACTTTGGGAGGCCGAGGTGGGTGGATCACTTGAGGTCAGGAGTTCGAAACCAGCCTGGTCAACATGGTAAAATCCGTCTTTACTAAAAATTTTTAAAAAATAGCTAGGTGTGATGGCGGGCACCTGTAATCCCAACTACTCAGGAAGGTGAGGCAGGAGAATCACTTGAACCTGGGAGGTGGAGATTGCGGTGAGCCAACATGGCGCCATTGCACTGCAGCCTGGGCAACAAGAGCAAAACTCCGTCTCAAAAACAGAAATAAACAAAATTTAAAAATTAAAATCAAAATTAAAAAAAAAAAAGAACCTCGCCAGACCTTCGGAGCTGAGTACGACACCACAGACTCCGCTCAGGTGTGCGAGACCTGGAACCTGCTGCCACCTGACTCACACTCACGGGCATTTCTGCTTACACAGACAGGGTCACCCTACGTTCCTCAAAGAGAGTCTAAACAACTCTGCATGAGCTGTGATCTAACACAACAAATTATGCATCACTATCTTTACTCGAGGTGACAAGGTAGGCAAGGAAAGACAGGAAACTGCATGAAAGGCTAAGAGGGAAGAAGTGTGCCTTGAGAGAACAGGAAACCGCCCCGACATCAAACAGAAAGCCACTGTCATTAGCCTCGCACGCCTCCCTCCTCATCTGCTCCAGTCCTGGCTTTCTTCTTCAAAGCTCAATCCAGACGTCAGTCTCTGTGGGAAACCTTCTCACTGTCCTTGGTCAGAAATAACCCCTTGCCTGCACCGCTAGTCCACAACGGCTCAGCGCTGCCTTGTCCGGAGATTCACACATGCCTTCCTCACTAGATGATGAGCTCGCCAAGCACAAGACGCAGGCCTTTCCCCTCCTGATGCTCTCCACAGTGTGGACTCTGCAGGGAGGGGAGGCCCCCTCGGTCACCCACAAACGCAGACTCCTGAGCTCACCGCAGGTCTCACGCTTCAGGATTTCCAGGAGGGCCTGGAAACCTTCCATTTACAACAAATACCCTTCCACGGTGCTCTGGCCCAAGCCAATTTGGGAACAGGGCTCCACAAAAGTTAGCTGAGAGAAGAACTAAGCGTAAACTGGGGTTTTTCCATCCCCAAAGGCCAGTCCATCTGGTTCGGGGTTTCTTCCTCATTGGACAGGTCAGTCCCACTGCTGCTCCGGAAGGCTGAGGGCTGCCCCGTCAAACTGTCGAGACGTTCAGTTAAGTAGCGGCGCTGCCGCATCCTCCCATTTGAGAGGAAACTGAACACTCTATGAAAATCAAAGTTTCCCACCACCCGCTCTCCTCTGAGAATGTGTTCTTCCTGTAACGTTAACAGTAACTCCAGTTCCTATCCTAAAAAGGGCACTGCAGCAGAGTCTGTTGGTTAAGTAGTCTGCTGAGCAATTCTGAAGGGGAGAAAAGAGGGGAAATTCAGAACAGGGGCAATAACCAGCAATGAGGGGTGCCAGGTAAACACGAAGTAACGTTAGTAACAACCGGCTTCAGAATGTAAATGAAGCAGCGAGGCTAACCCTCTAACCCTCACAACCCAGGACAGAGGCCCTTGGAACATGTCAGCTGCACAGTTCAGAGTACACCACGCATGAGCTTCATGTTCCAAACTCCAAGCTGAGGTGGGGAGAGGAAGTCAAAGGGGGACAGAAAGGCAGCCCATTCACGGGTGCCCACACAGCCGTTTCAGAGACCACTCAGAGACCCTGCCGCGACCTTTCACATTTACAAAGCCATGTGCTGGGAGTTCAGCTGGAAAAACAGAAGTCTCAAGAAATGAGCCTAAAAGAGCTCCAATTAATGATCAGCGGCATTCCTACCAGAAAGCAGGGTAATTTTATGTTGGGAAGAGGCTGAGTAAGGGCACGGCTGCAACTTGCTCGGCCCTTCTGTGAATTCTGACAAGGAAAATCCAACCAGTCAAACCACGAATGAACTCCCTATAGGGTCTTAGGTTGAATTTCACTGTGCCCAAAACCCACATAAATGACACATAAATAGGGAAGAAAAAAAATCACCGCAGGAAGAGAACAGCTCGGAATAACCTGAAACCACTGTTCAGAACACATCGGAGAAATCAGGCATTTTCTTCTACCAAAAAAACCTCTTCCACAGAAAAACTGACTATAGCTTCCACTCCTTGGTTGATTTTCTTTTTAATTTTGTCTTAAGTTAGTGACATAGTCTGTGTCAAGCCTCATTCTGGGCCACTCCCACGCTCTACGAAACTGCCAAGGGCCAGTTAAGGATTTGTACCATGAGACTGAAGACTAAGGAAACACTAAAATGCAAAACAATGGGTTAGTTCTTTCTGTGAACTCACGTGATTATTTAGCATATACTCAATTCCCATCATAAAAGACACTTACAGTCGAATTCTCTTTTCCTACACTCGAGTCAGAGGTTTTACAGAAATACTCCCCAACGAGATGTTCCTCTCTGCAATGTGAAGCCTCACAGCATGGCCCTCGTCTCCGTCTCCAGAAACAGTATTTAGGATGGAAAACGGGAATGAAGAAGATACAGAACTTCTCAAAGTATAAAGACCAAATTTCTCTCGGCACAAAGAAGCAAAACAGCAAGATTTTCCCTTCATTTCATGTCAAATGTATTTACTTAGGGCAAAGGCTGCGCACACTAGAAACCGGCTCGGCCGCCGGGAGCTGGGGTTGCCCGCCAGTGCTGTCGGCTGTTCTGAGCGAGGGGGTCACCTTCCCTGTGAAGCCACCGCAGGGGAAAGAACTTCCAGTGTCCTAGGCTGCTCCACAGGAAGCCTCCACAGCTCCAAATTAAACAGAGGGAGATCTCTAAGAGCCGCCACTGCAGTTTTATTTACATTTGCAATATAAACTGAAAGCTGAGAAAAAAATTTCTAAATGATACTTCAACAAAAATATTCTAATCGGAGCTGCATGCTTTAAATGTCTACATAAACATGGACTCAATCCCCTTGGCAAACACTGTTCCCACTCCTCGTCTTTAGGGGGGGCACCCAGGGTTAATGGCTTGGCTCTCCTGTCTTCCCTCTCCTGGTGCCCCCACCCCTAGCCCTCCATAGGAACCGAGCATCCAGGCAAAAGGCAGGTAATGGAAAGGACTCCACGTCTTGGTTTCCTCACCTAAAAAATGAGGAAAATAGCTGCCTACTTCGCACAAGTATTGACATAATTAAACCTGCCAACCATAAACAGCAATTAGAATAGCACTTGGAATATAGTTAAGGGTTAGCTATGGACACTTCCTTCTTTTATTTTCCTGGACCTCTTCAACAGAGATACTACAAGTTCCCAGTACTGGTCTTCCCATGACACAATGCGCATTTCTGCCTTTTCCTGTTTCCCATGGAAACGCTGGTCTCAAGATCACTGTTTATGCAGATGGTGGAAAAGTAAATTGGGACAGTATTTCGGGGAAGCACAGGTGCTCTGTAGCAGGACCCTGGGAAAGCCAGTGTACTATGAAAATGATGACAGAGACACAGATGCGTGGCTTTCTGAAGCATGGTTTATGATGGCCCCAAACTGCAATCAACCTAAAGATCCAACAACACAGGACTAAGGAAATTACAATATATTCATAAGAAGGCAACTTGCTAACAAGTAATGTTGAGGGGAAAAAAACCCGTGTCTTGGTAAAGAGATCTAGCTAGTATAGTCACAAAATAGAACACTAAGCAGCTGCCAAAAAAGGTCTCTATATATGATATATATGAAAGATCACCAGGACACAGTAAGTGGAAGACAATAAGATTCAGGATAATACATAATAGGTTATATAAAAAGGGAGAACTATAAATACCTATTTGTGTTAGTTGGGTCACATACAAACACTGCAGATGAATACAAAGAAAGGATCAACAGCTGTTTCCTGAGGAGAGCTGAGAACTGGCAAGAGGAAGACTTTATAGTTTTATCTTTTCCATTTTTATGTTTATTATTTATTTATTTATTTTTGAGACAGGGTCTTCCTCTGTCACCCAGGCTGGAGTGTGGTGCAGTCATGGCTCACTGCAGCCTCGACTTCCCGGGCTCAAGTAATCCTCCCACCTCAGCCCCCTGGGTAGCTGGGACCACAGGTACATGCCACCACGCCTGGCTAGTTTTTGTAGAGACAGGATTTTGCCATGCTGCCCAGGCTGGTCTGGAACTCCTAGACTCAAGCGATCTGCCTGCCTCAGCCTCCCAAAGTACTGGGATTACAGACATGATCCACTGTGCCTAACCATCTTTTCCATTTATTTTTTAAAATAATTGAACCATATAACCGTATTACCTATTAAGCACGCTTTTAATTTGAAAAAAAAAAAAATCACATTTAGGAAAACAACTGGATGTTAGCCTCAATGGGTTTTTTGTTTTTGTTTTTTTGAGATGAGGTCTTATTCTGTCACGCAGGCTGGAGTGCAACGGCACTATCTTGGCTCACTGCAACCTCCGCATTCTGGGTTCTAGTGATTCTCATGCCTCAGTCTCCTGAATAGCTGCGACCACAGGCATGCACAAGCACGCCCGGCTAACTTTTTGTATTTTTGGTACAGACTGGGTTTCACCATGTTGCCCAGGCTGGACTCAAATTCCTGAGCTCAAGTGATCCACCCTCCTTGGTCTCCCAAAGTGCTGGGATGATAGGTGTGAGCCACTGCGCCCAGCCAACTTCCTCAACAGTTTGTAGAAAGATTAAAAATAATTTTCTATTTGCTTTGTAAAATACCTTTCTACATTTTCTTTAACACGTATGTATTATTTTCATCATGAGGAAAAAAGATTCTTTTGAAAAGAGAAAAATATTTCAGACTCTCTTCCATCTCATTCTTTATCAAATATATAAACAAGAAACCTAATTCTTTCATTTAGATGAAAGTATGTTTAATCTCTCTTGAGATTTCTCCTTTGTCCCATATGTTATGTAGAAGTTTGTTGTTTCATCACTAAATATTTTTGTAATTTTCCAGGTATCTTTCTATTACTAATTTCCAGTGTAATTCCACTCTGGTCTGAGAGGACACTTTATAGGACTCTATTCTTTCGGGTTGGCTGAGGTGCCCTTTATGGCTCAGAATATGATCAATCTTGGAGAATGTTTCATGTGGGCTTCAAAGGAAGGTACACTTTGGCATTGTTGGATGAAGTGGGCATTGTGAGGGCAGAAAGAATGAAGAGATGGAGGGGGCAGCAAGCGGGAAATTATCAAGGGCACAGAAGACCTGATGCTAAGGCTGAGGACCCGCTGAAGGAGAAAGTAGAAAACAGGCTTCAAACTACAGAGGCAGAGAAGCTTATCTTATGCTCTCCCAACATACATGCCAACTGAGGGAATGCAAGACTCCGAACAAAGGACAAAACAGCAATTATTTACTGTATGACTTCATTCAGTGTGTGGGCGTGTGTGTGTGTGTTTGCATGTATGTGTATGTTTGTGTGCGTGTCTTACACACAGTCACAGAATTGGTGGAAATGGCCTAGAGCAGCTATGGTATCAAAACTCGCAGTTAAAGAAGATAATTTACTTATTAAAACACCATTTTTATTAGGTTCTGGATTCTCGGTAGTACTGAAATTATATGAACAACAGTGTCATAAAATAAATATTTTTTGCCATGTGCTAAAAAAGAGAAGAGAGTAGTAATATTAATAGGTATCATTTAGGGGAGGCCCAGGCGGGTGGATCACAAGGTCAGGAGATTGAGACCATCCTGGCTAACACGGTTAAACCCCATCTCTACTAAGAAATACAAAAAAATTAGCCGGGCGTGGTGGCAGGCGCCTATAGTCCCAGCTACTCAGGAGGCTGACGCAGGAGAATGGCGTGAACCCGGGAGGCAGAGCTTGCAGTGAGCTGAGATGGCGCCTCAATGACTGCACTCCAGCCTGGGTGACAGAGCGAGACTCTGTCTCAAAAAAAAAAAAAAGGTATAATTTGGGCAGCACTTAGTGAAATGAGGGCCCAGTGCTGTGCTAAGTCCTCACAGTAGTTTTCTATTGCTGCCTAATCAAATTCAGAGGCTCAAAAAATATCCACTCACGATCTGATCTGACAGGTCTACAGGACCAGGCACAGTGTGGCTCAGCTGGTTCTTGGCTCTGCCTCCCCGCAGGCAGAAATCAAGGTGTCAGCAGGGCTGTGTTCCTTTCTTCAGAGGATGATTCAGGATGATGGCAAAATTCAGTTCCCTGAGGCTGCAGGACTGAGGTCCCCTTACAAGCTCTCAGCAGGCAGCTGGTTTCAGCTTCCAGAGGCTGCAACACTCTCCCGCTCACGGCTCCTTCAAAGCCAGCCAGGGTAGGTCAGGTCCCTCGCACACTGCAAACCTCTCCAGCTTCCCTTCTGCCTGGTCTCCCCGTGGTGTCTCTCCTATCCAATCTCTCTACCTGACTCTTCCATTCTCTGTTGCTGCCTTTGATGCTTCATGTGACTATGTGGGGGCACACCCAGATAATCCAGGATCATCCTCATTTTAAAGCCAGCTGGCTCATAACCATGATTCCATCAGCAAAGTCCTGTGACAGCACCACCTAGCATCTTGGGTTGAACCATGGGAAGGGGCATCTTAGCAGGGACCTGTGAGAATCTGCCTGCCAGGCCCTGTCACACGCATGACCTCAGTTAACCCCACAGCAATCCCAGGAGGAAGTCCAAGAGGAAAGTGAGCCCACTGAGCTATAATCTACATGGCCTCTTACACTTTACAAAAACTACAGCTTCGCTCCAAAATGAACCCCAAACAGCTTACATAATTAAATGTTTAAAAACGCAGCAAAAAACCTACCAACAAAATAACACCACGGCTGCTTTCTAAATATTAAATAGTCATCTAACCTTGGAATGGTTAGAGCAGAAAGAGAACAGAAGAAACAGCAAAAGGGATATGAACAGATGACACTGTGTTAGAAAATTTCAATCAAACGAAAAGGCAAAAACTTTGCCTTTGTGGGAAAAATGCTAAATACAAGCCCAACAGTTAACATTCCTATTACAAAGAACTCATACTAAAAGAATATTTTTTAAATGGACTAACAAAACCATTTGTATTTCCCTGATGAATTAACATGTTAAAGTCTAACCATATTTAGTAACCGGAGAAATGTACATTGAACCACTGGTTTTCTATCAAATTAGCAAGATCAAGGGACTGGCAGAGTGCGTGCTGGTGAGGACCTGCTTCCTGGTTCATATATGCATATTCTCGCCATGTCCTCACACGGTGGAAAGGCCAAGGGGACTTTCTGAGGCCTCTTTTATAAAACCACTAATCCCATTTGTGAGGGCTCTGTCTCCATGAACTGGTCACCTCCAAAGGCCTCACCTCCTAACACCACCACTGTGGGGCTTGGGATGCCAACATATGAATTTGGGGGGACACCAACATTCAGATCATAGCAGATGTGCACTACAGGAAAGTTACTTCGACAGGTCCACGAAGTTCAGGACCAGGGGTGCCATGTAGGAGAGAAGACAGCTATTCACACTGTTATAACCACTCGTTACCACAGAGACTAGGACAGCACCTCACACACATTGAGACGTTTCAAAAATAAAACCCAACATAGCTTTCAACGTGCTGAGCCAGACAGCTTACCCTCAGGGATCCCGCAGCTCGGGTGAGGCCACCTGCGTAGCTCTGAATAATAACAAGGTGCAGTTTTCACTCACCCTCGATGTAGAGGGGCTCTACCACGTCGTGGTTAATCAGCTCGAAGTTCTCATGTCCGATCCAGTGCTCCACGTTTCTCTTCCTGCCCGTGAAGAAATTGTCCACCACGGTCACCTCGTGGCCGTCCATCATGAGTTTGTCAGTTAGATGGGAGCCCACGAACCCTGCGCCTCCGGTTACCTGCATCCGGACAGCGTGTGCGGAACATTCCCAGAAAAAGCACATGAGAACACAGTGAGGACCAGCTCCACGGAGAGACATGTCTGGTGTAGCCACGACTTAAAACGCAGGAGCAAGGCGGAGAAGGGAGACAGCAAAGGTTTTAAGGTAGCACCTTGACTCTCACTGCAGAACAAAGAGGTCATACTATCTCTAAACTCCTAAGCAGCCTAAAATTTCAAAATCCTGCTCTGGGAAGAATACAGAAAAATCGTAGTTACAAATTTCAAAATGTCTTCGCTGACAGAGAATTTCCCATTAGTCAAAGGTTCTTGTTTTATAACAAACGGGATGCTGGGCATAGCTCACATGGCTTTAATATTACTGCTGAGAACTTTAAAAATTACTTTATAGAAAAAGCAATCTGCAAAATGCAGAGATTTGGTGAACTACCCACAAAAAAAACTTAATATTTAAGTGAGATTCAAAAACCGCATGAAAAACGAGTATCTTTTAAATTGTTTACGAGAACAAATTAATAAGCAATACATGCTGTTTGTAGACTAAAGTCCTAAACGCCTAAGTCCACTGTGTGTTTAATTTCTGAGTGGTGATTTGAACACAGTGTGGTATCCACTCCCAGCCACAGAGCACGATGAGGCAGCTGTGAGGGGTCTTGACAGAAACTCGGTAATAACAAAACCTAGACCCCTGCAAAGGTGAAAAGTCAACCGCGCTTGAAAAATACTTTTAAGTTGAACACAGGTATTTTATTCCAATTAAATGGTGTAACTGGAGGAGGATAAAGGGAATTTCATCTGGGGGAAGGTTATAGGCAGTGGGAGTGAAAAGAATAGGCTCAGAAAACAGACTTGACACGCGCAACTCGATTCTCTAGCCTGCTGTATCCTGTTCTCTACTCTGCCTTCTCTTCACCAAAATTCTCATTCATTTCACCCTTCTGTTTCAAACTGAAAGAATTAATAGGAAGACAGCAATCCTTTCTACCTAAAATAAAAGTACACAAACTCCTAGGTCTATGGTTTTAAAACATGTAATTCTCCATGAAACTCCTGTTTAAAATAAATGAAATCTCACACACGATGAAATATTCACCACGGGTGAGAGAGTAAAGCCACCTGGATTTGGCCAGAGTGGTAGCTCACACCTGTAATCCCACACTTTGGGAGGCTGAGACAGGCAGATCACTTGAGATCACGAGTTTGAGACCAGTCGGGCCAACATGGTGAAACCCCATCTCCACTAAAAATACAAAAAATTAGCTGGGCGTGGTGACACACTCCTGTAATCCCAGCTACTTGGGAGGCTAAGGCAGGAGACTCACTTGAACCCAGGAGGCGGAAGTTGCAGTGGATCGCACCACTGCACTCCAGCCTGGGTGACAGAACGAGGCTCCATCTCAAAATAAATAAATAAATAAATAAGTCACCTGGATGAAAAAGATCAAAAATGGCAGAGGAGAAGTAAGGGGAGGGTATAAACTAAAAATGACATCTGAGTTGGGTGCAGTGGCTCATGCCTGTAATCCCAACACTTTGGGAAGCCAAGGTGGGTGGATCATTTGAGGCCAGCTGTTTGAGACTAGCCTGGGCAGCATGGTGAAACCCCGTTTCTACTAAAAATACAAAAATTAGCCACACGTCTATAATCCCAGCTACTATGGTGGCTGAAGCAGAAGAATCACTTGAACCTAGGAGGTGGAGGTTATAGTGAGTTGAGATCACACCACTGCACTCCAGCCTGGGTGACAGAGCAAGACTCTGTCTCGTAAATAAATAAATATCCTAAGTCCCCCCAACTGAGTGGACTCCCTCTTGGCCAAAGGGAATCCCAGAGAAATCCGAAAAGCTGAGTTCCCAGCCATGATGTGAAAGGAGATTGGACATGCCTCACTATACTTTATCTTTTGGAGTTCAGACATAACTGACCAACGTTAATGTTAAAACAGAGATCATAAACAGGACCTAGGGTCATGCCAGACAGGAGCTAAGTCACATCCCTCCAGGTCACTCTGACCCAGTGTATTGGTGAACAGACTTCCTTGTCACAACTTAGATTCCTTTCTGCTGACTCCAAAGTTTTACACAAAGATTTACGCCTTTAACCAATTACAAAGTAAAAAATCTCTGAGCCAGCGAGGTCAAGGCTGCAGTGAGCGGCAATTGTGCCATTGCACTCCAGCCAGGGTGACAGAGAGAGACCCTGTCTCAAAATAAATAAATAAAATAAAATAAAATAAAATAAATTACATAATCTCCTAACCCACCTATACCTATGAGCTCCCACTTCAAAATAGCCTGTCTTTTTGGGCCAGACCAATGTAAAGCCCCTATATATTGATTTATACCTCCTTGTAACTTCTGCCTCCCTAAAATGTATATACTGTAATCTGCCTGCCTCGGGCACACTTACTCAAGACTTCTTGGTTTTGTGTTTCCTGGGGCTGCAGTTACTCATACTGGCTCATAATAAACCTCTAAAATATTTTAGAGTTTGGTTTTTCAGTTAACAAGGCCAACATCAAGAATAACCATCCCTTAACCACCACATAGATATTACATATGCTCTGATGAAATGTGAATCAAATGGTTAAGATAGGATGGGTGAGACCAGGCATCCTCATGCTTGATAGCTTTCACTTGGCTTTACCAATAGCAACATTTTCCAAATCCTCTTTGCCTTCAAGATAAGAAACTGACACCCAGAGAAGTTATGTCTTTGACTAAAATCCTCAGAGATCACTAGCTGGCATAGACGAAAGCTATACTCTTTCTAATTACATGCTCTCTATTGCCTGTCAATTTGTCTGGTTTGTGTTTCATCTTAAGAGCTCCCACATTCTACTGCTATACCTGAACAATGACTATGAAAAAGGATTTTCCAGAAAAATAATTGAAATTCAAAGTTGACTCACCACTACAGCTTAACTCACAGGATGAGATTTCATTTTATCTTCATGTTACTGCATTTTTCCAAGTTTTCCATGATTTTTACAGTTAAAAATTTGCAACTTTTAAAAAGAAATTTAGCCCCTTTTAATGTAACTGTTTCTCTATATGCAAATATTTCTGAAAACAAAATGTTCAGTGGCATTCTAACATCATTTCTGTGCCCAAAATACCTGGCATACAGTTCTGAGATATCAGAGATGCAGCATATTAAACTATATGTGATCATCTCCAACATCTCACTAGTCTTAGTACTGACATAAAATTGTTGGAAGCACCTTGGCTTGACTAAAACGCATGGGAATTTTTTTTTTTTCTGAAGTAATTTCCTTCTACCTAAAATACTTAAGATTTATATAACATAGCTGGATGGTTATGCAATTTTTTATCCTAATCAATGTTAGCCCACTAGGCAAGTGTTTCAAATAGAAACAAATTTGGTGAAAGCTTAGCACTTACAAAGCTCTATCAGGAACACTAATCACCAAACCCAAGGATACTCTTTGAGTAACAAGGAGCTAATACCCAAAAGAGAATATGAGAAAAGAAGTAAGACCTCTTACAATGAGATGGATTAGAACTTACACAGCTTTGCATGGCTTTCTAGTATAGGGGTTTGTCTCAGTGTGCTTTCTGGCTCGCTCTTGTGGGTGCCAATAGGCAGCTAAAATGGTGTAGCTCAAGGTCAGCATTCAAACTCGTGATGCTTAGCAAATTAGCAAAAAATCAAAAAATGCATTTCAAAGCAAGCCTTCTCTTTCTGTTGAAGCTGTTCTAAGGCTTACCAATTTGCTGAAAAGGCTTCAAGTTATAGCAACAATATACCAGACTCATAGGCCAAATGCCTCGGAAATGCGACTAACCTATGAAATGGCAGGTGAGGGGGAATAAACTAAGTCTGTTTGCTGTGGTGATGTGTAAAGCAAAATAAATTCTACAATACTCAGCATCGACAGGAAGATCATTGCACGTGTACATAATAAAATTCATGGCAAGATTTTGCAGCATTCATGTATCAGTGCCGCTGTGCTTTTAATGTGTCCACCAAAAGCAGGTTTTGGTAATTTAATCCCCAGTGTAACAGTGTTTAGGCCATGAGGTGAAGTAAATGGATTAATGCCATTATCAGAGGAGTGAGTTTGTTATCGTGGAAGCGTGTTCCGCATAGAAGCATGAGTTAAGTCCCTTTGGTCTCTCTCTTGCCCTCTCTTTACCCATCCACTATGTGATGACATAGCAAGAAGACCCTCACCAGATCACAACCCCTTGTTCTTGGACTCCCCAGCCTCCAGAACCATGAGTCAATAAATTTCTGTTATAAATTACCCAGTCTTAGGTACTCTGTCATAGCAGCACAAAAAGGATTAGGACAGAAAATGAGTACCAGGGAAGTGGGATGGTTGCTTATGCAAACACCTGAAAATGTGGAAAAAGCTTGGGAACTAGGTAATGAGTAGAGGCTGGAAGAATCTGGAGGTGCATGGTAGAAAAAGCCTAGACTTCTGTGAATGGAGGGTTAAAGAGACAGTGGTGAGGGCTCAGAAGAGAAGAGCCATGGGGGAAGTCTGGAACTTCTTAGAGATTACTTGTAAAATGGTTGTGATCAGAACAGCTGGAAATATGGACAGTGAAAGTCATTCTGATGAGGTCTCAGATGCAAATGATGAACGTATCACTGGAAACTGGAGTAAAGGCTATCCTTGTTACAAAGTGGCAAAGAACTTGGCTGAAATGTGTCTGTGTCCTCTGGCTTTATGAAGGCAAAATTTACAAGCCATGAGCTAGGATATCTGGTGGAAGAAATTTCTGGCAAAATATTAAAAGAATTGCATGACTTCTTTTAACTACACAGAGTAAAATAAAAAATGGTTTAAAGACAGATTGTATAACTAAAAGGGAAAGAGAACAAAAAAAATTTTTTTTAATCCCCAGCTTTGCCATATAAAGAATGAAAAAGTGTGGGAGAGTGCAGACAACTGACTCTTTGATACACAGATTAGCATGGCTAGAAGGAAGCCAGGTTCTGTCCGTTAACACAACGGGAGAACGACC